ATAGTTTAGTTATTTATTCTCATTTTTTAAAATTCAAAATATAACCTATACGAAAAAATCTAAAATTTAATTTTATAGCTAATTTGATTGTTTAATTTATTTTAATAATGTAAAATTAAAGAAAAATGATGGAGGATATATAAACTGTTATCAAATATTTATTATTAGAATCATTAAGTGTCATATATATATATTAGTCGTTTATGGTAATTTCGTACGTTTTATTTATGGAAAGAAAATAAAATAGTAATTATATCTAGGGGATCAATCATTAAGTGTCATATATATATATATTAGTCATTTATGGTAATTCCGTAGATTAGTATTATGTATTGTATAACTCTTTAATCTTAGTGTTTAAGTTTCTTTTTACTTTATTCATATCAAACATAACCCAATAATATATCTACTTTATTATATTTACATGATAACAGAGTAGATGATGTTTCCAAAAAAAAAAAAACAGAGTAGATGATACCTTAGGGATCAACATAAGTTTCCATCAGTGATGTTAACGATGGCAACGAAGGTGGTGATGAACTAATGATGATCTAGATGTAGACGTCAAAGTATATATACGTCAAGTCTCTCACGTTTTTTAGTTACTTCTTGATAATATTATTCGAGAGTTTTTTTGTTTTAATACATTACTTAGTAACAAACAAGTCAGAAGATTTTGTGTAAAGTTTTGGAATGGACCACGTGATTATTGATCGATTCAAAACGTTAAGAAGTTAAGTCAGATCATGATCATCCCGATATATAAATTGTTATCAAATATTTATTATTAGAATCATTAAGTGTCATATATATATATATATATTAGTCGTTTATGGTAATTCCGTACGTTTTATTTATGGAAAGAAAATAAAATAGTAATTATATCTAGGAGATCAATCATTAAGTGTCATATATATATATATATATATATATATATATATATATATATATATATATATATTAGTCATTTATGGTAATTCCGTAGATTTTATTTATGGAAAGAAAATAATGTAAACTCGGTTTGATGCGTGGGATATATATTAATGTAAACTCGGTTACATGTGTTACATGCGCCTGTAATTATTGTTTCCCTAACAAATTTTAATTGAACCTAAAGCTGCCACGTCAGTTTAATTGGTATGCTAATTGATTGACAACTAAACAAGGTTACTTTTTAATTATTACAAACTTAAGGTTACATCTTTTCAAATGTTTCTCAATTAATAGATAGGGGATGTTTCAACAGTTAAAAAAAGAAGATTTTTGGACCCGGCACTGCCACATGATGCGTTTGATTGAGTGTACAGATTCAATAATTCAAACGCACTTTTTATATACAAAACTTTTTTAAAATAATAAAAATTAATTTAGAATTTAAGATTTTGTTTATCTATAAATAAAGATCACTTTCATTTCATTTAAATATATACAAAACATCATTTTCTTTTGTAATCAACTATTTTAGTGTTTTAAACACTTTTTTGGTAATCTCAATAATAATCCTTTTAACACTCAAATTTTTTTTAATTTTCCGTTTAATTTTCAAAATCCCAGTAATTATCAAATTCAAAACCAAACTCATTCTTAATTTTATTTTATTTTATTGATCTTGGTATTATTCAAAAAAATAAATTTAGTATAATAATTTAAAATAAATATTATTAAACTTTATTTTATTTTCGTTTTTAAATTAATTATTAATATGTAATTTTTATATTTTAAAAAAAAGAATATGAATTAAAAGTTGTGGGGTAAGATGTTGATTGTTTTAAAACAAAATCTTTATAGAGGTTTAGAATGAAGTATGTGTTAAATAAATAAAATGGAAAAAAAGAAAAATGATGTGAAATGTTAAAAATGAAAAATGAATATTTTAAAATAGAAAAGGTATTGGAACCACTGTACATGGTCTGAGAGAGGAACTTCTTTTACAAATGTTTCATTTTGTTATTTATTAAATCTAAGACGATGCTTTTGATTTGGTCAAGGCATATTTACGAAGGTTTTATTTTTGTTGTTTATTAATCTAGTAAATGCTTTTGTTTTGGTTTGTACAATCTAACCAATGCGTTTTTCCAATTATTCTATCTATTTTTATGAATTCATTTACAACTATTATTTACCTATACCTATTTGATAGGTATATGGAATAATAGTATACAGTTATGTGTAGATTTTGTATATAAATCATGATATAGCCCAACAAGTGTTTTGTTAACTATTTCATTAACATTGCATTTTATTACTATTACTATAAAAAATTATTAGGTAATAATAACCCGCGATTTTCGCAGAATATTATTATTAGTTTTGTTATTTTTTAATAAAGAGATATTAAATTTGTTTAATATGGATATCGCTTCGATTTAAAAAATTTGTTTACGTTTATGTTTTTAATCTCCTAAAATATAAAAATCTTTCTAAATCAATATTTATTTTGGTTTTTTTTTTCGTTTATGTTTTTAATATCCTAAATATAAAAATCTTTCTAAACCAATATTTATTTTGGTTTGTTCGGGATAAAATGATTGATGTTTTCGGTTTTTCCGCTGATAACCAAAAATTATTACTATCTGTTTGGTTTTTATGTTATATAAATTTTAGATATTCTAATGTCAAAACAATGATTTTATGTTATAGTTTATAAACAGATGATAGTTAAAGAAAACAAAAATAAAATTATTAAAAAAAATTATTTCATTACAATTTGGTCGATACTGAAAAGAATATTAAGAAAATCTGAACAATATAGAGAGGTGGTTGATAAATAGATAAAGATACTGTTAAAAAATATTGAATGATATTTTTGTTCAAAATAACACATGAAAAATAAATTTCTTAGAATAAAACTAATTAAAAATAAAATAAGCCTAGACATAACAAAGTTTTTTCATATAAATTAAATCAATTTTTTTCGTAAATAGGGGTGGACATGAA